GATATTGATTCTCAAATATTAAAAAAGGCAACTAAAAATCAATCTTTAAAAGAGGTATATGAAAATAATTAATAAAGATTTGTTATTCATTTTTTTCTTTGTTCTTTTTAATCAGATTCGTTATTTACTTCTTGAACAAATTCTTACACCATGTTCATTATCTTTAATTGGTACAATGTATCTAAATTTAACTCATCTTATTCTTCGTCAATGTAAACTTGTTCAACTTATTGGCCTTGATTCATGTACATTACTTACTGTTCTTGATATAGAAGTAATATTTTCTTTTTTCTCTTTATCAAATTTCATTCATTAAAATAATTATAGGGCAATTGGCTTGAACAAATACATATTCATTTAAATCATTTAGAATATTTAAATATGTCACGAAATCGTATAACATCTTTACTTTCAATAAATACTCCATGTTTAAAATATCTTGATGTATCAAAAAATCGTTTAACACGTTTAAATGGTCTTGAAACATTATCAAATTTAAATATTCTTCTTGCAACAAGTAATCAATTATTAACAACAATTGGTTTACAAGGTTGTACAAATTTATTATATATTGATATATCTGATAATCATCTTGTTGAAATGGAACAAGTTGATCAATGTCCATTATTAATAACATTAAAAGCTAATTCAAATGCACTTATACAAATACCAAATTTATTTAATGCTATTTTATTAAATGAACTTGATCTTTCATCAAATAGTTTAACATCATTTGATGAATTATCTATTGGATCATGGTTACCATATTTAACACATTTACGTTTATCAAATAATAATTTACAAGAATTATCATCGATTAAATTACCATCACTAATTGAACTTGATTTAGCATTTAATCAATTATCTGGTAAGAAATAGAAAGGAAGTGTATTTATCTACAAAATAGCCTATCGTAATTTTAATATTCTGACTTCATGTTTCATATATATTCTAATAGAACTCGTCGAGGTGAGATTTTTTTGTAACGAAACTTAGTCTTCAAAATGTAATCCTGGAAAAATATTATCCTAACAATTACCAGAATAGAGCAGTTTATTACTGCCATATATTGAAAATATCTCGATATTGGAGTATTGATTTGCATTAAAAACCAGTAATATGTCGAGTATTTGTCAGCTAATTTTACTCAAAATATGAAAAGTAACAACATAATCACGTTCAACATAAAAATCTGAGCTGTACATTTCAGTAACACATAACAACCTTGTTCTTATCGAAAAATTTAACCCACGTCCTCTTCAGGGATGTTCCAATTCATCTGAAATATCATCTGGATTATAAGAAACAAATTTTCAACCTTTGATACTCCATTAAACCCCATAAAGAAATACGCTTAAATAATTAAAACAAGGTATTTAATGAATTAATTCTTGGAACATTCCTCAGGAAGATGTGGACTAAATTTTTCGACGAAAAAAAACGTTTTCGTATGTTATTGGAGCATAGAGCTCAGTTTTTTATGCTGAACATGATTATGTTATTGGCTTTCATATTTTGAATAAAATTATCCGACAAATATTCGACATATTACAGGTTTTTAATACAAATCAATACTTCAATGTCGAGATATTTTCAATATATCGCAGTAATAAACTGCTGTATTCTGACATGAGTTTTTTCAAGAAATCTTTCTTTGAAGTATGACTCTATTCGGAATTAACCGAAAGAAATGGTATTTATCATGAAGATAGAGCAAATTATGACCTTCATATTCTGTGATAAAATATTTTATGTATTCTAGACAAAGAAGATTTCAGACTGTCGATGAAAGATGAAAAGGAAAAAGATTGTTATGATAATATTGTTCTAGAGTTACATTTTCAAGACTAAGTTTTGTCGCAAAAAAAACCTCACTTCGACGAGTTCTATCAGAATATGTGTGAAACATGAAGTCAGAATACTAAAAGTACCATGGACGATTTTGTCGGACAAATACACTTTTGTCGTTTCAATCGGAAAATTATTTTTTACATGATTCGTTTTTTTTCTTATAGATATATCAATATTAAAACGATTTATAAAAACTTGTCCATTATTATCTCGTATTAATTTAGAACAAAATCCAGTTCTATGTGATATAAAAGATTCATTATTAATTGAAGAAAAATCTTGTCAAAATCCTCTATCAATTTTACCACAATCATTAAATGAAAAATCATCACAATCAATTGAATTATATTTAAATTTTCTTTCAAATATAACTTCAATGTTTATTAAACTTCGTCAAACAATTGAACAATATCAAATTGAACCAATTCATTTAATAAAATCAATTCATAATCAATGTCAACAATATTATGAACAAAAAATCATCGAACCTATTAAAATCTCTGAACCAATTCTTCCTGTTACTAATAATATGAAAAATATATCAGCAGACGAACAATGTATTATTCGATTACAAGCTCATTGGCGTCGTCGATTAATTGAACGAAATTTATCATTAAAATGGCGAGCAGCTCAAAAGATACAAGCTCGTTGGCGTGGTCATGCTGTACGACAACGTATACGTACTGTTCGACGTTTATTTAGTCAACAACAACAGCAAACATTTGATGAAATTGATTTAGCTCAATTTGATTTTGATGAAGTAAATCATTCGTTTTTTTTAATTTACTGATGATTTTGTGTTTTCAGGCAGCTTTTGATGCACGTTTTCAACGACCGCGTACACCATCTGTTCGTGTTCAACAAGTCTGGCAACCTCAAGCTCAAATCTTTTCAAAAACGACAAGTATAACAGAACTTCCTCGTCCAAATTCATCTCGTTCATCATCAGTAGCTTCATCACGTGCTAAACCATTCATAGAACCATTATCTATAGAAGCTCGAACTCAACTAATTACAAATGAATGGGGTTTTGCACCATCAAGTTCAACAGCAGCATTAATGTTAAAACGTGCAGAAAGAATGAAATGGAATGCCGAACGAAAACATAAACGAGAACATTTAGGTTTATTTGATTTCCTTAGATTTTATGTATAAGTTTAGGTGTATTTTTTATTAGATGCTTATCAACGTTTACAAAAAGCACGTCAAAATGAACAACCACCCGGTTCATTACGATTAGCTAGACGTCAAGCATCATTAACAAATGCTACTAAACCAATTGAACAAACAAAACGTATAAATTATTTTACTATTGTTATTAAAAGAATGATAGACGTGACTATTTTTCGAATAACTAGACAACAATAAGAGTTATAGATTTGTGTATCACATTTCTGAGGGAGGTTTTAAAAGTCTAAAATTTTCCCATTGGACTTCGACTTGTGATGGGACCATACGATAGAAAAAATTCTTGTCCTTCAATCTACGTAAGATCAACCTTACAATTTTGTTTTGTTCGGCAGTTATACAGGTTTTCTAGAGATTCCACAATTTCGGCTAATTGATCTTCAATCACCTTGATGTCATTATACTAAAGTTTTCAAAATATGAACTCTATGCTATATAGCGACAAAATTTGAAATCTTAATATAAACAATGGAGATCGTTTTGAAATTAAGAACACATATGACCACTCAACTCAATATGGTGAATCGCTTCCCTTTTGATCTCTTCTAGGATGATCCAAGGTCAATTAGTCGAAATCATGGACCTTGAGGAAATTCGTATAACTCCTGAATACAACAAGTTAGCAATGTTGACCTTACATAGATTGAAAGACAACAATTTTGTCTATCGCATGGTCAAATCATAATGACATACATTCATGTTCTCATTCGAATGATGAAAACCGTAATTCTCTATTTCTTGTTGTTTTCTAATTATTCGGAAAATAATCATACTCATTACTTTTTGAAAATGATCGTAGTTTTCTAATTGATATTTCTATTTTTATCTTCTAGCTTTATCTCCTCCTTCTACTGGTCAATCTCGTTCAAATCGTGTTTATGAATGGGTTCATACTGAAGTTGCTCGAATCGATGAGTAAGAATTAATTTATATATCAAATGAAAACTATTCTGTTTGATAATTCAGTTCTTCATTGGGAAATGTTCATACTCCAAGAAATGAACGTAAACGTTTACCAAGTATTGATGGTTCAACAGATCTAATAAATGTAAATATTATAATAAAACTATTTATGAGACAAAATAAATTGTTAATTTTTAGCGAACACGAGCAAATGAAACTTCACAACAACAACAGCGATGGTCTACTTCAACAGGTAAAAACAATGTTTTACCAATAAAATACATATAGTTTATTCGATTTTATATAGTGTCTGTTCGTCAACCACCACCATTATTACCACCTATTAATGGACATTTACCACGCCTTTAATTTTTGAACAAAATTCAGAGTCAGATTTTAAGATTTATAAATTATTTTATAAAATAAAATATATTTTTTTGAAATGTCAACGCGTTCATCTTGTTTTATAAACAAAAATATCCAAGCACATTCGCGTTAGATTACAGGAGGGAAAAAACAGTTATCCCAAGATTTGTTATATCATAAAAAGAATGAGCAAAACGTACTTAGACGTTAATTTTTGTCTCAAAAAACGACATATTTCGGTTCGATTTCTACAATAGTTTGTCTCGTCCGTTCTTTTATCTTTTAGAAAAATAAAGTAAAAAAATCATTTAGAATTTCATAACGTGATGTAATGGAAATATTTATTGTTCATTATTATATCAACAAAAAAATTCGTTGTTGAATTGAATTGTTAAAAATTTTTACTAGTTGAAATATTTCATTATTTACAATCAAACAACGCAGCAATAAAAGAAAATGATAGATTAATATCAAACACTGGAAAAAACATTTAAATTAAACAATTTCGTTTTAATTCTTCGTCATAAACGGACATCTATCGAATAATAAAATTCAATTCGCTTTTCATTTTCTTCATTGATTTACAAAGAAGACCTTATTATCTATTATTGTAGTCGCTATCTAGTAATAAAACAACTACTGTTTATTTCATTCTTACATATTATATACACTAACTTATCAAACTAGAAATCATGACAAAAAAAGCCATATGGAATGGTCAAATTCTTGCTGAAAGTGATAAAACAATTGTCGTAGAAAATAATCATTATTTTCCGCCGGATTCAATTAAAAAAGAATTTTTCAAGGATTCAAATACTCATACAACATGTGGTTGGAAAGGTGAAGCATCTTATTATACAATAGCTGTTGATGGTAAAGAAAATGCAGATGCAGCTTGGTATTATCCAAATACAAAAGAAGCAGCTAATAATATTAAAGGTTATATTGCATTTTGGAAAGGTGTTAAAGTTGAATGAATAATTTATTTTAATTTACTCTTAATTATCTTTTTTTTTTTTGATTTTTCCTGAGATAATAAAAAATAAACTATATACAAAGAATTTAATTCATTGAAATTGTCTTTTTCTTGATTTCTTTCCATTCGAAATGTTCACATCGTGCTTGTGGATTGCCCGGAGCACCATTAGCACGTGAACATACATAAAAATATCGTCCCCAATTAACAGATGATGTATCTTTAACTTTACGTATAACACATTGTTCTTTATGACCAGAACATAATGGTGGTGGTGTTGGAGGACGAAAAATTTGATTCCATGTAGTTTTTGTCGTTGATTTTTCGTTCGATTCAATATTTGATGAAGAAATAACTTCCGTATTCTTTAAGAATAATGTATAGATTGAAAACAAAAAATTTTATTAACACATGAAAACATACTTTAGATATTGAATTGTTAGAAGGAACGAGTTTTGGTTGAGAAGTTCGTTTGAAATGTTGAAAAATTGATGATTGATCTGATTTGATTTTTTTTGATGGAGGTTTACTTTCGATTACTGTTGATTTGTCAATGATTTTTTCATTTGACTGATTAGTCTACAAAAAGTAATCATTCAGTATTAATATTAATTTTTAATCTCTATCATTGAAGTTCATAATTCATACTGTTATTTTGACGAAAAAAAAAAGTTCATCATCAAGACGCAGATAAGTAGAATGACTGACAATAAAAAAGCGTTAATCTCGAACAACT